GGACATGCTTCGGATTAGTAAAATAGGTCCTTCCCTGGACCTCCTCTTAACACAACCAAATTTCCCCTCACTGCTGAGGAAACTGGGAAGAACAGGAGAGACTCGGGAACCACCACTTCCTCTCTCAAGGAAAAGATATGGGGAAAGGACAAAGCTGAGGCTTTCTCTTCCCCAGCTTCTCTTGCTTAAGTGCTGGAGGAAAGAGCAACATTTTTCTAAAAAAGACAAAGCGGCATAATGACAATTCACATTAAATAAAGCTTAGGAGATTAAACTCTAATCAGTCTGACATAATTCTACAGTGAAGCCCTGAATATCAATAATGTTTTATTGGATGAATGAGCTCCATATAGTTCCCAAGGATCAACAATAAAATTTCCTGTATTCAAGTATTTTATGTCAGAGGAGTGCACAGACGTTTCTCAGCCATATGTTCACTCCAAGGGATGGCTTTTACACCTCTGGTACAAAAAAAAAACATGAGCAGAGGGAACATGGGGCTTTGTTTTGATTCTTAATTATAACACTGGCATTCCCCATGGAAAGAAAAGGCCAAATCCTATCACTTTCAAAATTTGCCTGAGAGAATTTTCAAAGGTCATCTTTGGCAGGAGGGACTGTGCCCTGCCTGGCCTGATGGCACACTGAAGGAAGTTGCAGAGTGCACTGTATTATCCCAGTTTTTCAAAACCACCCTGCAGACCACAAACAAGATAAAGCCACAAATAGCATTGATTTGGAGGCATTAAAATTCTCCAAAACTCTTGCCAAGGACTCAGAAAGATATATAAAGGCTATAGTAGCACCCCCAACTGTTCTCTTGCTTGGCTGACCTGGCAGCTAACACCTCCCAGATTCTCTGAAGAACAGCACCACCAAGACAGGATCCTGCTGGAAAAAAGACAGTTCTAGAAAACTCTCTTGTAGGGGTGGTAATTTTACATAACCCATGGGAACTAACTACAAAATCTCAGCTCACTGTGTCCTTGGAAAACGAATGCACTGACATGGAAATCTTCCTTACTTCAACAGGAGAACTTTTCCACATGATAATAGATCCACCTGACCTACAAGCACAGTGAGTGTTGCAGCTCTACAGAGGAAAGCTACAGCAGGGACTGCTGGCTTGGCTGAGCGCCCTCGAGACAGCTCAGCTCCTACACAGAGATCTTTCATAAGATGCAATTCAGCTTGCTGGCTTATATGATTCATACAAGCATATCAATGCAGCCATTTTTAAAACCTTTTTATTTTTTAGAATCAAAATGAAAGCATATTCAGACCTTTTCCTGTGAAGGGCTGAAATAGATACAAGCTATTTTTGTCTCTAAGAGTGTGATGCATTTGTGATATATCAACACTACAATCTGTATTATTTCTAATTTTATAGTTTTAGAATTTTTATTTGAACTGTACACTTTAAAATATCACCAAGCTCATAATTCTGACTAATTTCTTTAAAATGCACATCAGTGGCAAAGAAATCATATCTTTGTCTGTGAATAGTACCTCAGGGAAGGTAACTTCCTTTTACTAATATTCAATTGTTCCCACAACCAAAACTTAAATCTCTGTTGTAGAAATACCCAAAGTCTTACAGAGTCAGAAACCTTGAGAGGCAGCTGACAGTCTACATCATATGGCACTATGCATCTGAACCTGTAAAAACAGCACGTGGATCCCCAACCAGGATTAGAGAACAGCATGACATGTAGGGTATGTTCAGCAAGACTGATGCTACCTCTGTAAAATATATTTTCAGCAACGTCAGCATATCTACCTATCACCTTTCCTATTCTGAATTTTTGAAGCCCTCCTACTGCTCTGCCTGGTCCCAAAGGTGTTGCAAAAGCCCCTGTGCTACTCATACCAGGATCAGGTGTAACGCTACCTTCAGGGTTAGTACTCAGCATACTATAACAACTTTGCTTATTAGCCATTTCTTCCCGCTGTTTTTTTTTCCTCAGAAAATTAATTGAAATATTTTCTCCTTGAGAATGCTGTGAGGTTTTCTGTGTTTTTCTGATTTAGTCAAAATATCAGATTCAATAAGATTCAAAAGAAGGGGAAAGAGCTGACACCTGAAGTTGTGGTCAATGTTGTAGTTCTTGAAGGTAAGAAATGCAGGCACTGAAATGGTAAAGGAGATTAGGGTATGGGTATGGGTTCCCCCCTTCTGGTGCTCTCTGACAGCCATTAGAAAACATAATTGTGGGGGTAAGGCACAAGGAAGGAAGTCTTTCAAAACTTCATTGAGAGAAAATACTGCATAGAAAATAGTTAAATATTTTTATTTTCTGGCCACAGCTTCAAGAGCTGCTACTGCAACCAAATGCAGTTTTACAAATGTTATAAGTTTCAGTAACAGGAAGCTCATCTTCCTCGTTTCCTTCTGAATGAGCAAGCAAATAGGGCTGCTGACATGCCAGTTTATCGATCTGTCAAATTTTAACTTAATCCTAATATAAACCACACAGCATCTTGTTAAAATAGACCCATTAGACGTGGTTCAAGCTTGCTGCTTGGACTTCCTGCAAACGAAGATCTGTAGACAGGCAGGTTTGGCCCAAGGCACTGTGAACCTTCAGTCAGACCCTGGTTTTCCCCAAATTCCAAAATTCTGCAGCAATTTGAAGGAAGTCCATACGTAGCATTTTAAGTATTATAAGACACAGCAATAAATAGTCAAATTCATCAGTACTATTTGAGAAGAATGAATAAAGGATAGACTCAGCATTGCTGTGTTTCCTAGTGGGTTTTTTCCCCTCAGCTTGAAATGACCCATTTGCAATGGGCCACTGAACACTGTACTTCAATGCAAGTTCTTGACATATCTTTCACACAAAGTCTCCAAACACCTCATAAACATTAATAAATTAAGCTGCAAGAGCAATAAGAATTTCAGCTTCACATTCATAGAACCTATGACTCAAACTCTTCCTGAGTATCTGTGGCAGATCTAAAAATGAAATTCAAACTTCCAATCACTTTGAATTAGGCTTCTCTACTAAATCATGCAATCACAGAGTCTAATTCAGGTTGGGAGAGATCTCAGGAGACCACCTCAAAGCAGCACTAACTACTGCTCTACACCAGGCCAATCACAGCTTCATCCAGCCAAGGCTCCTCAGGGAGGGAGGATACACCAACAATGGACAATTTCTTCCAGCCTCTGACCACCTGTGTGGGCAAAACATTTTCCCTTGTCTCCAGTCAGCATCTCCCCTCATGCAACCTGTACCCAGTTTTTTCCTTTTTTCATTTCTGAGCTTCTCTGAGAAGGGTCTGGCTCTGCACCCATTCAGCTCCCCTCAGGAAGCAAAGTGTTCATCAAGACCCAACTCAGCCATCTCATCTCCAGGATGAAGAAACTCAACCCCTCAGCCTCTCCTCCTGTGCCATGATCATCCTGATCTGTCATCTCAAGTTTTCATTAGCAATTTTCCCCCTAATTTCCTTGAAATCTTATACCCAGTGGCACAACTTCACTTTAACAGAGCTAGAATTTTACCACCCTTGAGAAATTGCTACTGTCAACTTTGTTGCCTTGATCATAAAATTTTGTTTTTCTGTCATTGTTTATTACAAATAAATGCTTATGCTATAAATTATTTGATATAATTAAGCTGCACCTAAAAATACTTCAGTTTTATACACAACTACATCTTGTATCACACAGCAGAAGCCTCTGAAAGGTGATGAAACAATACTAATTCACTGTGACAGGATATATAATTCTAGTCTTTCAACACTGAATTTTAGCAACTGAAAAATGCTTTCCAGTCATCTTCAGCAGCACACAGGAACATCCAGCAATGCTACTTTCACTTTTCAGAATTAAAACAGGTACATGCAAACTCCGTAAAATTTTTCCTTTCCAACATACCTGTAAAGAGCGGAAAATTAAAGAAAGCACTATCCAAGAGAGTCCTTCTGGAAAGCATTAACTCACAAGAAAAAGAAAATAATAAAACTTCATCCACATTTTGAAAGGAAAATGGGAAAATTTTCAAGTCTGTTTTCCTAACTTTCTGGACAAGATACTTATACTCAAACCCTAAACACTGCTTGCTGTAGTCTGAAGCATGGAGACACAGTTAGGAAAACCAACAAATATGAAAATAATGTGACAGCAAACTTACATTCCTGTTGAGAAATAGCTTTTGTTAGGAAACATTTGCACCAATTTCTCGTATACATTGTTTAAGATGGCTGACTTGGCAGTTATTTTTAAAGTTGAACTCAGTGATCTTAAAGGTTTTTTCCAATAATTCTACGGTTCTAAGACGTGGAACATACTGAAATGGTTACTTCCATTTGTTTAAAAAAAAATTTGTTTGCAAGCAAAAATGAATGCATGCTAGATCATTCTCTCTTTTCCCACAGTTTAATGTTAACAAAAACTTGGCATGGGTACTTGACATATATACATCCATCTCCCACTTTGCTCTCCATCCCCATTCCAAACACTGATAATACTTGGGATCGAACTTCTGGTTCCTTGAGAAATATCCTTAACAGCATTTCCCCCCAAATTTCAGGAAGTATATATTTCCAAACACGCCAAGGCTCATGCACCAAACAGACTCATGCTGTTTTGCTCACAATCTGAAGATGCTTTTATTTCAATAACAAACTGCCCACCTGGTGATTCTGAACTAACGCTTCCTTTCCCACTTCTTTTCTTACACTGTTTCTTCCTCTTCCCTAAGAAATGTGTTGCAATAATAACAACATCTCCCACTCCTCTGTGATGACAGCTTATGCCCAGTTCTGTATTCCTGCAAAACTCCCTCCCTGCTTACTCACACGGGATCTCTTTGAGTTCTGGGTAACCAGATTTTCCCAACACCCTCACAAAGCCTATCACTGTGACATTACTCTGTATATCTTAAGAGTTATCTTTGTCTTTCTGGTTGTCACTTCCCCAAGGCAAAGGCAATGTTTTTCCACAAGTTCTCTTTAGTGCTGATTATATCACACAGATAATTTTTAATTACCTTTCTGTTCAGAGCCACACCATCTTCACAGTCCAACACTGCACAATCTACATTTAGTGATGGGATTTTTCTTATCTTCTTTTCATCATCCGCAGGTACATAGAGCACAGCCCGTCTGGGAACATACTTGTGTGATGATGTAAAGCGATAACTGAGCTTAGGAACACCAGCTGGCAGAAGAGAATCCACCCTGTAAAGGATATTGTTGAAATTAGACTATTGGCAGCAATGCTGTAAATCACACTTGACTGTATTTTAAAAGCAAAACATTCATACCTAGATAGTGGCTGGGTTTGGGCTACTTACATATCTTTTCCCTTTGGAAGAGACAAGTTAGGGACATATCAGTATTACAGTTAATTACAATATAAAACTCCAAAACCACTGTGTTCAATAGAAGTTGAAAACTTAATCATAATTGAAGACCTGCCAGGGCTAAGGTTTGTCCATGTAGCTTTAATTACACTGCCTATTCTGGGTGCTACAGCAAGTATGAAATACAGAAGGGTGGTGGCTGGTTTTTTTTCCTTGTCATTGGACTCCTCTGTAGGATGCAGACTGTGCTGGGAATGGATCAGGACTGCTTTGGGGAGGAGCTGCTATTTGCTACGTTTCCTCCAGAAGCTGGATGCCATGCTGTGAATGAAGCAGGGGTGCTGGTTAAAACAAACACAGGTTTGTGAAGTTCATTTTGCAACCTTAGCGTTATATCAACAAATGTGTTTGCAAATTCTAAATAAGCAAGATGGACGGAGGGGGAAATGAAGAAAAAAGAATGAAAACCCCATGTAGTATGGAACCTTGCTACTCTCTTCAGACCTTCACGTCCACAGCACAGACTTCCACTGGCAGAGTTCACAAACCCAGCAGCATCAGCAGCATGGTTTTTGGCTGTGGTGTCTTTTTAAATTTGTAAATGCTTTGTGCACCACACTTTGGTGCCACACGGCCTGAGAGGATAACATCCCTGTGGCCCGTAGGTGTGAGCTCTGGGGTGGTCTCCACCACATGCTGATATTCCTGGTGAGGCCCAGCCAACCTGCTCCAGGCAGGAGCTGGGTTACTGCACTTGGAGGCTGTGGGACTGCCAGAGGAGGCTGCTCTTCAGTGCTGTGGGGAGCTTGCTTTGCTCCATAATTACGAGCACAGAAATAAATTATAGAGAGTGCCACTGTGTTTCTTGGCCTTCCAAAAAAAATCCCCTTGCCTGCTCTTGTTCCTCCCCACTGCATGCTGTACCCCCAGGCCTATTCTGCTACATCAAAGATGAGGACAAAATAATACAATTTACCTTCGTATTAAGCACAAGGCACTTACACCGCAAAATAATCCTACCATATAACACCATTATGCATTATCATGTATATTATTCAGCACTTTGAATAATGCAAAGCTTTCCTAGCACCATGCTGAACATGTCATTATCACATCATGTCAGGGACCCATGCATTTTCCTGTGCCCCTCTTAATAATGCTTCCCAAGTTGCTAGACTTGGATGACACATGGCTACACATACATGCGTGTTTTCTTCAAAGCAAACATGACTAACACTCTCAAATGCCTGGAAATGAGTTCAGTCAATCTAAATCAGAGCCAGTGTGGCATGTCACTGACAGACCACTGTAATACTTGCCTTTCTAAGCTGAATCTGTTGAAGAACCCTCTCTTCTCCTAGAGTGTGCACCCTTAAAGCTGAATATAAGAGTTGGGTTAAAAATATGAAAAAAGCTTTTATCACATTTTAACTCAGTAAACTAAATTTAAAAGGAAAGGATTCCATCATCTGCATATCCTGTGTGGATCCATTTTAAGAGCCTACAAAAACCACTGCTGGGCTCTTCTTTGCAGCATGCCTGGTAATGCTTAACTCAGTTTAAGAAATGGGACAGCTTGGCAGTTAAATAGACATTATTCTATTAAAAGTGCCAGTGTTACCCTTGTTAATAACAGCAACAGCTTCAAGACTCAGGTGTAGGAGGTCCTATCAGCACCTGGAGACATGCAGCTGAATCCACTGAGCCCCTCCAAAGTACTCTCTTTGCCTCTTTCACAAGCTGCTTCACGTTCCCTGCTTCAGGCTGAAGTGGGGATGGTAACAGAACTCGTGGCAACTCAAGTGGCTGCTAGACAAATCCACTTAATCTCATTTTCCTGCAGTAGTACACTTTGGGAGAGCAAGGACGGGGTGGAGAGTGGTTTATCTCAAATGGAAAGAGGAGGATCTTTTTTCAGTGTGACACAGAGGTCAGTAAAGAAGTCTGCAGTCATTCCCATAACATATATGAGGGAACAAAAGTGATTAGTTTCTATTCTCTTTCTCTGATGGCTTCAGCCTTGTGGTTCCCAAGGGCACAAAGGAGCCAAAGAGCTCAGCCCATTAATAGTTAACTCCAGCCTGGAGCCAAGCTGCCCCTGAAGCACCCTTAATGACTGCCTCTCACCAGCCCTCCAACCTGCCAGAAACCTGATAGACATGGCGAACACCATAATCTCAGAGCATGCTGAGATGAGATGTATCTTCTGTCACACATGTTTCCCAGGATTTCTTCTGGGCTGTCATCAAACCAAGGGCTGTTTGACCAGCCGTTTTCCCTCTCACTGCTGCAAGCCCCCTGAAGGCTCTGCATACCACACACAATGGCCTGCAGTGTTGTGTAGGTGAAAGCACCATTACCTGCAGACCAGATTTAGTCAGGTGTCACCAGCCAGGTCTATGAACTTGTGTTTAGATGGAGGAGCAATAGAGCTTCCTCAGCAGATCACCTGACTCCACAGAAGTGATAGACTTAATCAGTTTAAAAGCCATCATTAATAGGCTTAATGCTGGAAATGCTACTGCCTCGTGACTATTGCTGTCTCTCCCTCAGCTAAACAACTTTGTAACCACATGGGCTCAAACAACAGGTTTCTCGGGACATGAATTATTATAAAAAATACACTGTCAATGTGTCAAATTATTAGTTTTATGAGATATCTTAGCAAGTTGAAGAAGAAATAATTTTTTCAAAAAGTATGGCCAGGAAAAAAATATATACAGCAGGAGATGGTGTCAGTGGACCAACACAGAATCCTTCTCCTTTCAAAACTAAGAGCTCTAGAAATATTCATATAAAATAAGAGTTCTCAAAATCAACATCGTACCTCTCTTTAGGTATGACAGCAGTAAATGGCATCAATGCTAATTCTTTGACATATATTCTTTAATCATCACTGTGCATTTTGCCTGCAAAGTCATATTTTATGTTCTACAATAAAAAAGCAGAGAAACACATGGATTAATTAATAGATCCATTTGTCTATAGACTTATTTTAAACAGTGGCAAGGCTTGTGGTGCTCTGTATATGAGCAGTTAGCAACTCTGGTAGGAAACACTCCCTTGATTATCTTGACTTCTGTTATGTTGATAGAATGAAAAAATCCCCAGCAGTTGCTTTTTTAGGACAAAAAACCCACACAGCACTGCAGTCTCGATTATACTGTTAACCCTGTGCCATAAAGAGGAGGAAAATCTTACATATGTTTCCTGGCTCCAAGTATTTTAATGATTCAAACTAAGCTTGACTATGCTTTAAACTAAACACATGGACAAAAGCCAAGTGAATTTGCTAAGACAATGTTTCTTCCTTTAAGCACTGTAAGTTAAAACAAGGACTAGGCTATTGGGTAATGCTCATTAAATTGTTTTACAGCAGCATATTTTCATTCGTAGCATCTGGCAGCATGCTGAGTGCTCTTGGGTCTTGGAAATAAAACTAAATTTCTTCAGCAAACATAACACTCTACTAAAGTCTTCATCAAATATGTAAAAGTAGCTGGCAAGTTAAAGTTTCTCATGGTCCTTTGAGAACCATTCCACCCAAGAGTGAATAGTTCATCCTCAGGAAGGAGAAAAGAAAACCTATTTGACTACTAAGAGACACTACAGTTTGCAATGGCAGCCATACAGCGTGACTGCGAACAGTGAAATTACCCCAAATTATGCAAATTTCCCTGCTGTAAACTGCATTTCCACATTCCAGAATTGCTCATACACATACTTAAATGCACACACCTGTGCAGTGACACTGGAGCCAACAACATATAGCTCACAAAGTAAAGTACTCGCACAAGTGATTTCCAGCACTTTAACCTGTGCCTCTGTTCCCTGTTTATTTGCTAAATCAAATCACCCCTGGAAGATCTGCCAAACACATAGAAAAATATTCATTGTTCAGTAGGCCAAATCTTTCCTTCTACAGTCTTTGGCATAGTATAGGCAAAGTGCTTGAAAAGAGCATTTTTAGACACTTCACTAAAACTATTAAAAAATCTGGATAATTTCCACATGTATTTTTGACCTCTGTGCATGTAACTACACACCATGATATCTGTGGAGCTGTGGAAGAAAGACAGAAGTGATCCAAGACCCACAACCCCCCCGAAAAAGACCCAGCTAATGCAGGAAAACATTGTACAAATTATTTCTGCAATATGTGCAAAAAAACCCCACTCCAGCGAAAATGTAATGGTTTTCCTGTGTTGAATTTACTGGGGAGTAGCACACCAGTGCACACAAATAATCCACCAAAACAAAGGAAACTTCTACGAAATTACAAAGCCCCACAATTTGCATAGTAATTCTTTCTAATTAAAAAAAGAAGATACAAGTTGTTTGTTATAAACATCAGCAGGCCCTGTGCAAATACGGAGGGCTCGCAGCCGCGCTGAGTGTTTGTCAAATCAAAGCGACTCGCTGGAGAGTTTTATTGGTACAGCTGCGGCGCATGCATTTTATCACACATGCTAATAATCCTGGTTATGGCACTAACATTTTAATCATTTGTTCTCTGGGCTTGTTTCTCAAACAATTAGCACTAATGAATGGCCAAAATACCTCGGATCATATATGTCTAATTGCAGTCAAGAGCGGTTATTGTCCGCATGTACATTTCAATTCACCTCTGGGGATAATGTTTGTTAATTGTATTTCTTTATATAGCAAGTGAAAAAAGGCTGTTCACTCAAAAAGGGACTAAGTGTTCTCTTCTTTCCCTTTGTTCCCACAAGAAGCTAAAGTCACTTCAAGAGGCACTTAATCCCATCATCCATGGTTACAATTGCCTTACAGCATCAATCAAAAAGAATCTGAAGTAAAATGATGCAGCTATATTGTGTAATTAAAAGCAATTCAGGTAGTTATTACTTGGGG